GTCAAAATCGGTCAGAATCGGTCGGTCAACCGGTCGGTCAGAAGCCTTTGACCGACCGATATCGGTCACGGTTATGAACGTTTATGACCGACCGGACCATTAGCATCCCTAGTGTGATCAATTAAAATTAAAGCAAGAACAATTTATTTGTTAAAATACTGTTTATTTTATACTACAAAAACACAAAAAGAAATGTTTCATAATAATTTTTTTAAAAAAATGAAAACCTCTCAATGAAGTATAGCTTATAAACCGACTCCTAAAAACTGATTCTGATTCTCAAGATTAGTGATATATAACGATTTTCACCACCATTGTAACAAGCAATATTTTTTAATTTATTTTTTAGTTTTTTCTAGAAGAAAACAAAACACGAATCATTGCCGATCATACTAAATTCGAAAATGGCTAACATCAGTTTTAAAATCTGATCTTATATTAATAAATTCCATTCTTTTAACCATAACAAAAAATCATCGTTTTAAATATAATCATCCAAGGGCAATTTCTCAAAGGACAAACGAAAAAAGAAACATAATAACCAGAAGAGATTTTAGTTTGGCGAATTGAATCTAAAAATAATCGATGTCGATCATCTGAAAACCTAAAAAAAAAAATAACTTTTGTAACGTTACAGTTTTCCGTGTTTCGACAACAAATGTATCACTTTCATACATTTTATATCGGTTTAGCTCAAAATTTTTTCTGTCCTGCTCTTTTGAATTGCTTAAAATGTTTAGCGTAATCATTATATATCTTTTACCTTTTGTTATTATTCAACTTATAAACTGTCAATTAATTCAAGAACGGACTGATGCCGCAAGTGTAATCAAAGATAACATTTTATATGTTCTTGGAGGATTTAACAAAAAAGCAATGCCCGAAATATTGTCCTTAGATTTTACCACTTCAATGACGACAGATTCACCACCATGGAAACGGCTGAAAGTCTCTCCTTTGGCATTTGCATCAAGCGAAGTGGTTCTAGGCGGTCCTAATAATAATTTTCTGTTTGTTGTTGGTGGTGGTTTAATTGACCCGGTTAGTGAAGTTAAAATAGTTAATGAACAAACTCTATTAGAATATGATATTCTGAACAATGAATGGAGAAGAATATCAATGTTAAACGCGCCCAATTTAAATCGGAGAGTTCATTTTTCACTTATAAGTGATAATAATGGAAAGGCTTATCTTCACGGTGGTTATTCTGGCACGTTTCTAGGTGATACATATTTATTTGATACTTTTTCATTCATCTGGACTCTGTTACCGGCACCTCAAATTCCAATATTGGCAGATGACTTTTCTTCCGTACTGTTAAATGATGGACGATTGGTCATCATTGGTGGATATGGACCTCCAGAGAATAATGTTCTCGTACATAGACCTATTAGCCAGGTAAAGTACAAGAATGTATTCATATAATAATGACATTTGCTAATATCTAAAACAAATAGATCGAAATATTTAATACGATTGATAATAGTTGGAGTAGACAAATTGTACCGCAACCAAAAGGAATGACCGACCACCGTAGATATCATACATCTACACTTCGTAAGTAAATAAATTATTACCTTTCTTTCTCTCTTGATATCTTCACTAACTTCTTATGATCTAGTTCCAAATGGAGATGTTGTAATAGTCGGAGGACTTGAAGTAACACCCAACGTTGTAATATTAGAAACAACAAAAATATCATTCCAATGGAGAATTCCAGTCATTTCTGGGTTAGAAGCTCCAATGCTTAGTGAACACTGTGCTGAACTTGTAGAAAATAGATATATATTCATCATTTTTGGTATGTCTAGTATTTTTTTTTTTAAAAAAAAAAGAAAAAATGTAATAAGATTTATTTTTGACGTTTCAGGAAAGAAAACTGATGTCCAACTTAGCAACAAACTCTACATATTTGATACAGATAATTATTCATGGATTACGAATTTTTCACCAAACACATTACCACAATCATCATCACCATCATCACCATCATCAACAACATCATCACAATCGACCACAACGCACGTCTCTTCAATTACAATTGTATTATCTATAGTCATATCAGTTTTAATTATTATTTTACTAGGAACATTTGTATTTTTTTATAAAAAACTTAAAAACCGATCGGGTAACGTTACTACACGAGCCGAAAATACAATAAGTATACCTAGAGATTCGCAAGAAGAAAATACAAATATAATAGTATACCGAAATGAAGTTAATCATAATTCTGTAAAACGGATGTTTAAGATTTTTAGTCAATGAAGAAAATGAGATGGTAATGATTCGAGTTTAATCTTAAAATTTCATTTATGGTAGTTGTGGCTACGTTTGAATATTTATAAATTTTGCAAACTTTTTTTATTCAGAATTACGAATCTTCATGTACAGGTTTTGTGATTAAAAAAGTACAGTTCGTTTTTAGACGCGTAATTTCATGATTACTATGTTTCAACTTATCCTCCTTCTTTGTTAACCATCAGAGAATAGCTTGTATAAAAAATTGGCAACAGTAAAGCTTGGCAATCAGCAAACGGAAAATAACAGCTATGTTTCAATTTTGTAATGTTTATTGCAAAAGTATTTTTTAAATTATTAACGAATTCTATTAAAAAAAAAAAAAAAAAAAAATTCAATAAAAATTTTAAATTTTAAAGTTAAATAAATGATGTTCGGGCATCCTTATAATGTACTTTAAAAGAATTTATTTATACATGGGGTCTACCCATGAGATCATAGCAATATTTGATACCTCGCGTCACACCCTCTGCGTTTTCCATTTTCATAAGTATTCTGGGAACTTAGAATTTTTTTTGGGATGGAAATCATATTTGTCACTTTTTATTCATCACATGTTTAATTTATTAATGCCGTAATGCCGGTCAAAAGTCACGTGGTGTGAAAATCTTTGGTGGTAATACTGGGGTAGCTGTTCAGTATTGCGATTTATAAGTAAAAATTTCACTTTACGTGACTTGTGAAATATAAGAAACGTGAAAAAAAATATTTTTACTAAAAAATTCAGATTTCAGAATACTATAAAAAATGGAAACACAAAGGATGTAATACAGGCTGACAAATATATAAATAAAAAAATTTCTAGTGATACTGAAGAAGATAGTATTTATCACTGGTATTATATGATTAATAAATTTTATGTGATTTTAATTATTTTTATAGTATATTATTAATATCAATAAATTATATTTTATTCAATAAATCATAAATTATTTGTTTTTCCTTTATAAGCTACTATTGATTTTTTTTAAAAAAAAACTTCTTTTTCATATATTTAACTTCAATTTTTTTATTTATAGGTATTTTTAAACTTTTTTTTTTAAGATTTATTAAGTTATTCAAATTATTGTTTTATATTAGATATCTTATCTCTTATGGATTTTAAAGATAGATATGAATCTAATCCTTTAGATAATTCTTTTTTTAATATTATATATTAAAAAAGAAAAATAATCAGTATAATATTTTCTAAATATAATCAATAATTTAATACAATTTTTATTTGATGTTGCAAATGTAGTATTAGAAGAAAGATTATCTGATCTAAAAGAATTAAATAATAAAATTAATAATGATGATTATAATATGAAAAATATTAATAAAATAATATTGAAGATTAATGATTTCTTTGATAATTAGAAATTAATTTAAATTATTATTAATTTATACATAATACAGACTAGTTGTTTAACTAATAAAAGTCAGAAAAAAATATTAATTATACTAATAAATCTATTATTATTATCATATTTATACTTGTAAAATCAAATATTAATTAATTAAGAAAGATTAAGAATCAAACTTTACTAAATCAAAAATAACTAATTGCTTATAATAAGTTAGTTTTATTTTAAAATAAACTAATTTTATATAATTATTAAATTTAACAGAATTATAATTATTAATAAAATCCTGAAATTATTAAATTAATCCTAAAAAACTTACATTTTTCATAAAAAATTTAAGATAAATTTGAATACTACACTAAAAATGATTATAATAATATAACTTATTATTAAAAATTTTACATTAAAAAAAATCCTTTATAATACTATATATATATTTTATAATACAGTTAACTCTCATTATAATGAAATCTATATCCTAAACCTCAACTTCATTATAAAGTTATAGTAAAGATTTAATTAGTCAATTTATTATAACAAGAGTATTTATATTATATTTATTCAAAAAATTCATTATATTAAGAGTTTGTTATATCAAAAGTTAATTGTATAAAGGTTTATAATAAAATGATACTAATATAATACATTTATATCTTTTAAAATAATATAAGAATTATCTTAAATATATTATTTTATATTAAGAAAATTATACAAATGATTTTACAGATCTTTTTTAAATAATAAGTTAGCAATAAAATGATTTATAGCTAAATATTATAATATTATTATTCATATTAATATATAATAATGAATTATTATAAAATGAGTCTTAGTTTATTTATTATTATAAGCATTATAATTAAAAGATAACATAATTAAATGTAACTTATAATATAATTAAGTTACTTTTTCAATTAAAATTTAAAAGTAATTATAGGAATTATCTTTAGTTATCATTAACAATAACTAAATAAGTTATTATTAGCATTTTTAAATAATATTTTTTATTAAAATAATACTAATTATCCTATTTTAAAATTTTTATAAACTCTTTTATATATTTAATAATTATTATATAAAATCTTTTATAGATCAAATGTATAATGACAATTTATTAATAAATATATTTTTAAAAATCATAATATTAAATATTTAATAAAATAGCTAAATATCTTAAAAACATTTTACACTTTTTTTTAATTTTTTTATAAGTATTAATCAGAATTTTAATAAATTAAAAATTATTTTATATTCAAAATTTAAATTTTATAAATTTTTAATATTTAAAACTTAAATTGATATTAAAATATTACTATAACATAAAAAATATTATACTTATCTCAGAAAAATAGCTATTATAATTAAAAAATTATATAAATCCTTATGAATTAGAATATATTTTAATTTGTAAATATTAGTATTCTATAAAATCAAATCAGATCAGATTTTATTTTGATCTGATTTTTATATTTTATAAATCTAATCTAAATCAAATTTAACAATTAATCTAATTTAAACTTAATCTAAATTAAATGAATCAGTTAAAATTTAAATATAATTTAATCTGATTCTAGTTTTAAAATTTTATTTTTATTGAAAAACTAATTTTTTGTTATTCTAATTAAATAATAATGAATTATTTTAATTAAATGAAATGAATTATTCTTATTAAATGATAATAAATAATTCAATTAGAATAATAATATATTAATCTAATTAAATAATAATACATCATTTAAAAAGAAAATTAATAAATCATTTAATTAGAATTATTTTTTTAAATAATAATAAATCATTTTAATTAAATAATTCAAGAAGAATGATAACATATCATTTTAATTAAATAATAATAAATTATTCTAATTAAATTATAATGAATTTGTTTAAAAAATTATAAAAATAATAATGAATTGTTTAAAAATAATAATAATATATTATTCATTAAAAATAATCAATTCAGATTTGAATCTAAATTCAAATCAACAGATTAGATATTAGACAGATTAGATTTGAATTTAAATCTAAATTAAATAGATTAGATCTAATATAAATTTAAATATAAATCTAATATAAATCTATTAAATTTTCTTTGAATCTAATTTATCAGATTTGGATTAAATTCAAAATGAAAAAGATCATATTATATACTTGATATAATTGAAATAGAGCTTATAAGATTAGAAAATTAAATGAAAATGTTCTAAAAATCCCTGTAAACAGAAGTTTATTAAAAATCTATGTAAATAGAATAGATTGTGATTGAACTTCCTACTTTTTTTAAAATTAAAATAATAAATATAACTATAATAATAAATATAATAAATAAAATAATAATAAATAATAAGATAATTATATTAATAATAATGATAATAACTGTGATAGTAATGAAATTAGTGAAAATGATAATCATACTTTTCATAGAAATTATTGATCATTGATAATTCTAATTAGCATTGTTATTTAGTAATGTATATAGATTATTACTAATATTACTTATGAAATATAACTTATTAATTATAAATAAATATTTAAATTCAATAAATAATATAATTATTAGTAAAATATTTTCACAAAATAAAAAAATCCTAAATAATCTTTACATTATTTATTGTAAATTAAATAATCTATAAAATTTAGTATTAAAGATTTATTAAAATATTAGAATTTAAATTTAAGTTAATATAAATTTATTAATACTTTATATTTTTCATCATAATAGTAATTTTAAAGTATTATCTAGGTAGAAATTCTAGTAAAATATATTGATAAAATATATATAATTTTTTAATATAATAATTATGACTATATAATACTGATTTACAAATAAATTTATAAGTAATTTTATTTATTAATATAATTATTTTTAATTATTTTAGATATATTATTAAAAAATTAATACTATTATAATAAATTTTATAATGATTCCTAAGTAAAATAAAAAAAATGTAATTAATTAGTGATTTTTTAAGATAAATAAATAATAAATTATTTTAAAAAAATTAAATTAATATATATTGATAATTATGAATTTTAAAAAGTTTAAAATACTATCATTATATATATAAATAATATAATAAAGCTAAAAATTTTATTTTATTTTTTTATAATCATTAAATATCAAAATATTTAAGTTTTCTAAAATATTTTAAAAATAATTTTATACTTATAGTTTAAAGGATATAGTTTTTCTATAATAAATTTAAAAATAAAATGTATAAATTTCATATTTTATAAAATATATAAAAAGATATTTTTATATTTAATATATAGAATTTTATATATATAAGAGTATACAAAATATTAACTACATGATATAATTTAAATATAGCATATGTTATTATATATTCACTAATATAAAAATATATAGTTAATGGTAATTGTTTGTATATTATTAAATAAACAATAGTAATTATGAAATATAAAAGTAGATCATACAGATATATAAAAAAAATCTAATTTATAGAAAAAATTTCTACCATAAAATGTATCTTAGAAAAGAACTTAATAAAATTCAAAAAGAAGGATTATTGCAGTAAAGAAGTTAAGGAATACAAATAGCAAAGTTTTTATTGTTATAGGTTATTTTATTTTCTCTATATAATATATAAAAGCCATAAAAAT